GAGCTCCCGTCTCTGGTTCCAGCTCCTGCCAACCTAGCAGTCCGAAAGCAAGAAATTGCAAGTAGATAAACAGGGACCACTTCAGTGGGAAGGTAACAGCGTTCCGTGCGCCTTGATGTTTAGTCATGCCGGCCACATGACCACGGAAATGTCTTCAGACAGCGCTGGCTCTTCGGCTTGGAAATGGAGATGAGCACTGCAACCCTAGAGTCGGATTCAACTGGCTTTCGAGCAAGGGAAACCTTTACCTATATACCATATGGGGTCAAGATGATTACTTCCAAGCCTACTGTTAGGTGCGTGACTCAGGGCTGGCAGCAGCATACCCTCAGGTGGGGAAGCTGCCGTGCCTCAGGGGTCCTGCCAAGGTCCACTGCCACAAGCCCCACCACCACCACATGGTTCCTGGGAAGGAAAGGTTGCATTCCTGGCAGGCACAGTGTCGTGTTCCTATTGGTGCACACACCACCCAACACAGTCAGTAGGAAGGTTCACAAATGGGCAGGGGAAGACAAATGGGCAGGGGAAGAAAGGAAACACAGGCAGGCAGGGATGGGGGGTGGGCTGGAAGGAAGGCACGAGTGGGGGTCCTGGTGGGGGTCAGGAGGGAGAAAGGTCCTAGGAGGAGAGGAGAGGAACTGACATGTGGAATTCACTGCCACAGGAAGTGGTGGCTGCTACAAGCAGGGACAGCCTCAAGAGGGGATTAGATAACCATATGGAGCGGAGGTCCGTGGACCATGAGTGGCTATTAGCCACGATATATAGATGGAGCACTCTGTCTGCGACAAGGGTGCTCTGTATTCTTGGTACTTGGAGGGGGGCAACAGTGGGAGGGCTTCTGGAGTTCTGGCCCCGCTGGTGGACCTCCCGATGGCACCTGGATTTTGGCCTCTGAGTGACACAAGAGTGTTGGACTGGATGGGCCACTGGCCTGATCCAACATGGCTTCTCTTATGTTCTTAGAGGAGAGGAAGAGCCGAGGCACTCTGTGCTCGGGGCCTGACAAAACCTGGAACCGGCCCTGGTGTGATTCATGCCAAGTATTACGCCTTGTGGAAGTGACGGCCCATGACAGAAGAATGCCAATACTTCTCAATGTGCACCACTTGGAGGAAGAGCCGAAGCACTCTGTGCTCGGGGCCTGACAAAACCTGGAACCGGCCCTGGTGTGATTCATGCCAAGTAATACGCCTTGTGGAAGCGACGGCCCATGACACAAGAATGCCAATACTTCTCAATGTGCACCACTTGTTAGGAGATGGTCCCTTATACTTTATTAAGTACGCACCAGCACCTAGAAGAGGTGCCACTCCCAGCTGAGGGGAGACGTGTACATGGGGGAAGAAACGGCTGTCTGACTTCAGGAAAGGCAGAAGCAAACAGACTGCTGTTACATTGACTTAAGCGTCCAGAGAAGCATGAGGGGTACAGGGTTGCTTTCTGTCAGGGAAACTGAGATGGGGCTGTAAGTCTGCAGCCTTGTAGGACTGCCTCTTTGCAGAGAACTGTTGTCTTCATGCTCTGCTTATAGGATTCCTGGAAACATCTGGCAACTGTGGGAAACTGGATGTTGCAAGCCATCCACGAATGTCATCTTTAGCCCCAGTTTGGTGTAGTGGTTAACAGCGCGGACTCTAATCTGGGAGAACAGGGTTTCATTCCCCACTTCTCCACGTGCAGCTGCTGGAGTGACCTTGGGTCAGTCACAGTTCTCTCAGAGCTGTTGTGGAAAGAGCAGTTGTTGAGAGAGCTCTCTCAGCCCTACCTACCTCACGGAGTGTCTATTGTGGGGAGGGGAAGGGAAAGGAGATTGTAAGCCGCTCTGAGACTCAGAGTGAAGGGCAGGGTATGAATCCAATCTCTTCTTCTCTCTTCTCTTCTCCTTACAGAAATTGATATAAACGTGAAAATGAACGGATTAATGAATGAACGGTCTGGGCAGACCTTTGGCCTGATCCTGCAAGGCTTTTTGATTTCACGTTGTTTTATGTGTAGTACCTGCTTGATATAGTTGTAGATATCTCACAGACCACTTGCTCTGCAAAAGCACACAGAATGCAACGTTTATTTTAAAAACAACAATCCTCTCTTATAAATATTATACACAGGAACCCTCTAAATAATCCCCTCTCTTCATTCAGATAAACAGACCATAATTTTAAATTCTAAAAGCAGTAACATTTCCCCCCCGTCAAAACCAAAAACGCCCTGGGTGCTCCTCCCTCTTCAGAATCGCTGTTTCTACGCTCTTCACAAGTAGAAAAGTTTGTCGGCAAGTTCCAGGCTTGGCTCTTGGTGGATGCTCTGACCGACCAAGAAAGTCAGCTTGTTGGCGTACTGACAAGGAGCCGGCACTCTGATGAGGCCCTAGAAAAAAAACAGGAGAAGGAGATCAGACAGCCTGAAACATGAATGTCCGCTGTGAGCAGCAAGCTGTTTCCAATGTTCCCAAATATATGAAATGACAAACTGTTTATTGTTTAGCCGCTGATAATCCAGGACAAATCACCTATTTTTGCATTAATAAAATATAAACAAGAAATGGCTTTCAGTATAATGACAGCTCTTTGTTCTTTTATTTAGGTTTGAAAAAAAAATTCTTATGAGGTTGAGAGAGAGAGAGAGAGAGAGATTCTTATGAGGTTGAGAGAGAGAGAGACAGAAAGACAGACAGACAGACAGAAGATGCTTGGCTATATTGGTAAAGCGCTTCTACAGCAAACTGAATCCCAGAAATCAGCATAAATGTCATCTAAAACAATTGATTAGTAGACAAGCCTGAAAAGGGGACATTATTTAAATTACGTCCGCACTGCCAATAAGCCCAGCATGTGAAGGATTCAAAAAACACAATCAAAACAATAAAAAAGAGTAATACAACATAAGAACAAGCAAATTGCCAACAAAATCCACAAATTGGAGTTCAGCAGCACAGTGATCCATGCTATCTTCCTCTGTCTTTTCTGAAGCACCACGCTGGGAAGGCGCTTTCACAGTCACCTAATCAGTATCACAAAGTCACTGCCTCTCTACCTGATGGGTGAGAACCCATACAGCTTTGGTGTATTTTTGACAAAGGAACAACTTGTGTTTTGAAGTTTTTGTATATTTAACCACTGATGAGGACAGCATTGTCGAAACATAAAATGCAACAGGATACAGATTAACAATACAAGCTGCACAGTGCAGCACAAATCAGAACGGTGACGTTTTTAGGTGAAAAGAAGGCATTTGATAATGTTGAATGGCACCTTAAGGTCTGTCTACTCTTGTACAAACCTACCCGTCCCACTGCAGTCATCTTCTGAATCTCTGCTTTGGTTGTCCCTGCTTTCTGAGGCTAGATGGAGGGCAGCCCAAGAGAGGGCCTTCCTCATCAAGACACCCACATTATGGAACTCCCTCCCCAGGGATAGTTGTCTGTCCCCTTCTATCACCGTCTTCCACCAGTGGGTAAATACCTGTTTGTTGCATCTGGTCCGTCCTTCTTGCCTTGTGTTTTAATCTGCTGTTTGGGGCCTTCTCAGCCAGGCCACCGAAGATTTGGAACTCCCTTCTTAGGGAGAGCTGTCTGTCTCCCTC